TCGCCGCACGGGGGGTGTGTTTGTGTGGGGAGAGAGGGTGGATGGATGGATGTGTGTGTGTGTGTGTGTGTGTGTGTGTGTGTGTGTTTGTGTTTATATGGTTCAGTCTGGCAGTGTCCAATCCCAGGAGGGAGAGCCTCTTTCCTCTCTTCAGTCTGAGCCTTTGGTTTTGTGTGTGTGTGTGTGTGTGTGTGTGTGTGTGAGACTGAAACCTTCAAAACAAAGAGATCCTCCAGATGGAGTCTAATGAGTTCTGATCCAGGAAATTACAGAGGTGTGCGAATAGAAATGGTGCAGCAGAGTCAGGATTACCACCTGCTGTCTTCTTACCTGAGATCAAAACCACTAGCACAATGACTGCAGGACCTTGACTCATCTCAGACAGATTGTGTGCACTGCAAAATCATTTTCCTAATATATTTTGTCTTGTTTTTGAATAATAGAATATCTGTATAAAATCCTTTGTTTAGTAACCTTTACATCCTTTATTTGTTTTTATGTCATTTGCAACCATAAACAAAAAGCAGTTTGCCAAAGGGGTAATAAACATAAAAATGAAACCAAAACTTAAATTCATATGCAATTTTGCTTCTAAATTAATTTTTTTAAACAAAAGTTTAAGGATATTTTTACTGGAAAACAAGACAAAAATACTGTGCAATACATATTTTTTTGCACTGTGAGGACATTCAAAAGGAACATCCTTGAATTGAAAAATGTAATAGGACAGATTTACTAACAGCTTGCACCTCTGCAAACCCTCTTTTGGCATTAAAAAAACTAAGATTTAGGATTTACTAAAGACATGCCATGTAAAATTAGCTTTAAAAAAAGCCTGGACAGTTATTTTTACAGCTGACTTTATTGCATTTGCATTTATAAGAGTTTCCCTTTCAAACACAAAATTGAAATTAATCATGCAAGGTATTTTTCTGAGGTTTGCGGTAGTCAATTTACTTTATTTGCACCATTATTTAATGCCCCCAAAAAGCAAGTCAAAAGTTCTGCATGTTTGCGAGCCTATGCTAATTTTGCTCCACTTGGTAGATTGCGTTGGACTGTATGGACATGCACTGGCTGTGTCTGTGTTCTTTGATGTGTGCATTGTCAGTAGATCAGCTGCAGACATTTCCTCTCCCATTGACACTTTTATGGGATTGCACTCTCACGCTAATTTGCTCTGTTTAGTAAATCTGGCACCATATTTTATGTTCAATTGTTTATATATCTTGTAAGTAGTTGTGTAATAAGTAGAATGATGTACAGTCTGTGTGGTCGGAGACAGTAAAACAGTGAAAGGCCATAAAACCTCAATCACCTACATTTGGGTACCAGCCAACTGTCCTTACTAGGAAACCGACTTCATGAACATGCCATACGATGTATTTCTTAAAATTTCAGCATGCAAAAAGCTTTCTATAGCTCAGTTTCCAAACAATAGAAGTCATAGGAAAGTCCCCACCATGACAAAAGAAACAGTGTGTGTGCATTTGAGAGAAACATCAGACATGAACCGCCCTCTAACCCTTTCTCGGCTCTACTAAAACAAGGTCACCCTCTTCTCTCATCGTTTCAGATCTCCCATAAATAAATCATTACATGTTTGTGGTTTGTCTGTCTTTCTCCCTAATTGCATTTCGAGGCAGACTCAATTGATGGGAGAAATTAGCTTTTTCTATCAGAGAGCCACATCCTGCTGAGGTTAAAAACTGTTCCATTCACCAGAAATGTCTGCTATTGAATTACTCAAAAATGTCTGCTATTGAATTACTCTGTGTGAGGCTCTGGTTAACTGAACTGCCTTATAACATGCAATGACACTTGGTAAATTAAAACCCACTGTGAAGCACTGGGTGCTGTTCATTGAATGTGTGTGTGTGTGTGTGTGTGTGTGTGTGTGTGTGTTAATTAAATAACACGTTTAAATGTAATCTTCAACAAATCTCAAAATGAATATCCATTTTCACACTGTACGTTATAATGCTGTGATGCCTAAATTCACTTGTAGTTTTTATGATTGATTTTAGTTTTCAGTGTTTTATTTCTAATTTATTTAGACAAAATAGTGTAGAATTTTTATATCTACTATGACATGAAAATAATTACACAGGTCCAAAAATCCATGGTACTGCTACATGAGACTTTATTGTTAGTGCATTCAGTATGGTATATATCAAAGTCCAGTGATATTATAATCTGATAGCATCACTGTACCACAGTACTCCCACAATATATTTGTTACGTGCAGTACAGTGCACTTATCACATGCTCCCGTTATATAAATACATCTGCATTGCTGTCAACTAAAAGTGCATTCTGCTCCCTTGTTTTGTGGCCCACTTGTTCCAGCATTTTTAAACCACCTCTATTTCTTCCTCCGACATAATTTCCTCTTTCATTTTCCTCTCCACCCCCGCATCGGCCCCTTCAGTGGTTCGGAGACAGTGTCTGCTGCCAACAGTCCTCTTAACACCCCCGTCCCTGCCCTCTTATGAAATTGGGGCTCTATTATGAAAAAGACTCTTTCCCTTTTTATGATAAAAGCTGTGAACAGCAGGGATAAATGGATGATAGCTTAGGTCCGACAGCAAAAACAGTAATAGGCATGTAGAAATAAAGCCGGTTTACAGTACACAAGGAGGGAGTTATTTTGCTTCATCAGTTTGATTGCTGTAAAGCTTTAAAGGGGTCATATGACGTTGCTAAAAAAGAACATTATTTTGTGTATTTGGTATAATGAAATGTGTTTATGCGGTTTAAGGTTAAAAAAAATCAGTTTGTAACACTCCAAAGAGAAAGGAAAACTTGAAATCGCATCATATGACCACTTTAACTCACAGACGGTTTAAGATGTAAAATAAGTATAGAATATCAAATGGATATATGTTGTTGTTGTTGTTGTTTTCAGATTTTTGGAAATATTCAGTATACATCTCTATTTATGTATTTGCTTTGAAATGTCTTAAGATGATTACAAATAATCAAGGCTTGTTTTCTGTACAGCATTTCATTAAATTTATTCAAAGCACTTTGATAGCACCAGTTTTCGCCATCATTTTAAACATTTTAAATATGAAAAATAAAATTTTTTAATCAGTTCATGCACAGACCGTTTAAACTAAATTAAAAAGTTTTAATCAGAGAATCTGTTAAAACATCTGTCTTAACACTTTCATACTCATGCAAGATAGAATCCTGAAACTAATGTAATGACATGCTTTTAGTAAACTTAATTGTGCATTAAAATCTTCTCAATATTCATGTTGTTTAATTTTATATTCCCAGCAAAATCATTTGAAATATACCGTATCACATCACCCAGTGCTAGTATCATGCTGCTGTGGACCTCTGATATTTTCTAACCTGAGTTTGTTTATTTTGGTTTGTCTTTCAGGTGAAATGCTGTAAGTATTGGCCAGATGAGTCAGAGATGTACGGAGACATTAAGATCACCCTGCTGAAGACCGAAACTCTGGCAGAGTACACAGTGCGAACTTTTGCCCTGGAGCGGGTATGAGATGATTTCTCTTCCTCTAGAGACAGGACAGGAAATGATGGGGAAAAGAAGGGTTGTATCTCCCGCATGATCACCACACCACCTCTAAGCCACGGCTCCAACACGCTCTTATTTCTCACACAGCAATGTGATTTGCTCTGCCATTTGATATGATGTATCACGTTACTCCACATTACCCTGCTTATTACATGGCTACGTACCAAATAAATAAATGGACATGAATTATTGATTCGAGTTTAAATAATTTTGTTATGTGAGAAGAAAGAATTAGTGGAGTGAAATGAGAGATGTGAAACTATCACAGCCATGGCGAAAATCAATATTCTTATATCGTCTATACAGTTTAGCATCATTATTCGAAACTGTTTGATCTAAGATTGCCATGATTGACCAAATTAGAATCAAGTATTTCCAGCTGTTTAATAATCGCTCATATGTGCTGCTGTTCTGATATGCAGTGATTATATGTAATCTGGATTACGTAATCAGATTGCAAAAATGAAATACTTGTAATTAGACTATATTATATTTCAAAAATGTTTGTTTTATAATTAGTTAATTTTTCATTGATTACATGACTACGTAATATTCACAAAATGGCAGTAAATTCATTGATTCTTCATAATTCTTCTTTTTTATCTTTTACATTTTCCTTTCTAAAAAAAATGCCTTTTGCTTATATATATAGCAGACAAAGACCAGCCACTAGTCATCCAACTATAATTGCATGGAAAATTGAGAGTCAATAAAATAAAATATTGCATCTTTTTAGTTAGTGTTTTAATTTTTTTACATTTTTAAATTTAATTATTAGCTTTTCACAGACCCCCTGCAGTTACTTCATAAACTCCAGTTCGTTTATGTTTAATGCACTTAATGTTGTTGATGGTACAAGATTATCCTATTCAAATCAATGATAAGTTAGGTCAAAAATTATCTAAAAGTAATTAAAAAGTACCTAAAATGTAGAATGTGATGGATTACTTACTAACTACACATTTCATAATGTAATTGTATTCAGTAATGAACTACAATTTTTAAGTAATCTACCCAGCACTGCTGATATGTATTGCTTCTTTGCTAGGATTAGGGTAGAACGTGAATTGTGTGTATGCGTGCACCCATTTTGCATGTGTGTGTTAGGGGAGAATTTGGAGTGACAGCCCTGTAAAATGAAATCAATCATAGCGTTAGTTCTGGCAGGTCACGTTAGTCAAGCTCGCATCAGCTAACTCTCAGCGGATCCCCATCTACATATAGGAATACGACACCTATCTAAGCATTCATATATAAGGTCCCTCAGTATTATCAGCAGTTTTCGCATTGCTCAATAGCTAATTACCCTCCTCCATCCCCAGCTCCTCCTCTGTCAGTCAGGATTCAGCATTCTGATTATCCTTTGAATCAGATTAATTCTAAAATGTGTACATAAAATTATTTAAACTTTAATGATATCTGCTATACATTTATGTTGGTTCTGTTCTGTTTACCCTGGGGGCGTTATCGCTGCTCTCCCTGCTCTCATCCATGCTAGGCTGGGCCATGGTGTGTACATAAAATTATTTAAACTTTAATGATATCTGCAATACATTTATGTTGGTTCTGTTCTGTTTACCCTGGGGGCGTTATCGCTGCTCTCCCTGCTCTCATCCATGCTAGGCTGGGCCATGCTTGCCCAGAACAGAACCATACCGCCAATCCAAACTTTATGCTAATTGTCAATCATCTTTGTCAGTGGTCCTGACAGAAATGGAGAGAAGCGCCTGATACCCAGCAGAGGCTCACCGAGCTGTCTGTTCCAGGATTAGAGCTGCCTCATCTCAGAACGCTTTATGGCGAGCACATTAACTAAAGCATCTCTTTCTCTCTTCTCTCATTATCTCTTCTTCTCTGTGATACAATGGGCTAAATGTGGGTGCGTTTACTGAAATTAGCCCAATTTAACCTCCTCCACCTCACCCCCTGTCTTCTCTTATCATCCTCTTTGCTGCCCTGTGGAGGCGCAGTTCTGTCGACAGCCTTTCATGTGAGTTTTGTGCTTGCCACGGCCCTGTCAATCAAACATGGGCTGTGGGTGGAATGATGTGCTTGTGTGTGTTTGTCGAATGCTGGGGAAGGTTTCTCCTAGTAACCATCAGACAGGCTGTAGGCTGAAGCTTTCTTTGTGTGTATTCAAACAGACGAGCAATTTGGATGCAGTAATAGGAAGTCTCTTAGTGGCCTGTCGAGTAGACATACACGCCTCCCCTGAGTGGGACCACAGAGCTGGGTGTTTATTTCACTGTCGCTTTTGCTAATTCATCTGAGTTTCTCCTGGTGTCTTGAGCCATGAGGAATACAAACTCCAGAAGTGAGTTACCTCAGATTTTTTGAGCCAATGGGAATTTTCTTTCATCTAATAAAAAACAAAACAAAAAAAACAGTGCAGTTTGTCTTGAATAAATAAAATTAGTAGTAAAATTAAATAAAAATTGTGCCACTTATCTACTTATAAAGCTCAACCGTATCTTTGTTGGAGCCGTGGCCTGGTGGTATGTCCTTACACATTGAGCCAAGATGCTTGAATGGACAATTCGGGTTCAAGTTTCTTATGTCTCCTGTGTTCCTCTTATTAAAATGGCAAAATAATTAAATTATATTAAATTCAGTACATATTAATTATAATTGAAGTGTGGAGCATGTTTGTCTTTCAGAGGGGATACTCTGCCAAACACGAAGTGTGTCAGTTTCACTTTACATCATGGCCTGAGCATGGAGTCCCATACCACGCCACAGGTCTGTTAGCCTTCATTCGGCGGGTCAAATCCTCCACGCCACTCGACGCAGGGCCTGTGGTGGTCCACTGCAGGTATGGAGCACTGCATTTCATCATATTATAACAGCTAATGTTTGTCAGCCAGAAATGTCTAAATATGTCCATTCAAAACCTCACCAATGCTAAATTTATTTCATCAAAAATACAGTAAAAACAATGATATTGTGAAATATTATTACAATTTAAAACAACTGTTTTCTATTTGAATCTATTTTAAAATGTTATTTATTCCTGTGATGGCAAAGCTACATTTTCAGCAGCTATTACTCCAGATTTCAGTGTCACATGGTCCTTCAGAAATCATTCTAATATGCTGATTTGCTACTCAAATAAGATTTTGTATTATTATCAATGTTAAAAACAGCTGTGTTGCCTAATATTTTTGTGCAAAGCATAATACTTTTTTAGGATTCATTGATGAATAGAAAGTTTAAAAGAACAGCATTTATTTGAAATATAAATATTTTGTAACATTAATGTCTTTACTGATTCTTTTGATCAATTTATTGCATACTCCATGAATAAAACTACTTAGTTACTTACCTTACTTAAAACTTACGTACCCCAAACTTTTGAAAGGTATCTGTATGAACATATATGTTTATATAATATAAAACCAAACAAACTTCTAGTGAAATGTTTTGCTTGAAAATTGTTCTTGTGCTATATTTCCTTCAAATACTCCAAGGTAACGTAATGAATACAGTGGGACTATCATGTTACATGTTCAAAAACATGATATGACCATGATATGTGTCCAAAAATCTGGTTTTACCATTTTACCCATGGTAATACTTTTTGGTATTCTCTGTTAGTGTTTGCTGTCAACTGTTACATGGGACTTTGAATGTTCACATCCTTCCATGTCGAACAGGACTGTGGCACCAGCTTGATCTTTAGTTAATGTCCATCAAAGAGAAAGCAAATGTAATTATTTTTGAGGAAGATCTTGCTATTCGTCTTTCGTTCTTCCTCTTCAGTGTGGGAGCAGGCAGGACAGGCTGCTATATCATGCTGGATGTAATGCTGGACATGGCTGAGTGTGAAGGAGTGGTGGACATCTACAACTGTGTGAAGACCCTCTGCTCTCGCCGTATCAACATGATCCAGACAGAGGTGCAGCCTCTCACATGTTTCCCCATAATTCCCTTTACCCAGCTATGACAAGAGACTTATTACATGACATCTCTTGTATTTGCATAGTCATAAGCTCTGTAGGAGTCGCTATGAATATTCAGAATGTTTAGCCTTGGAATTCAGTGAAAAGTGTGTATTGATATTTGTGAAATGCAAATAATCATCTCTATTTCATCTGTCCGCTCTGCGGAGGCAAGTGCCTTTGCTTAGATGTTCCAAAATTTCCATATCCAAACTTTATTATGTAAATCCCACAGTCATTTGACTGTTTAAAACCTTAGTAATTATTTGCCAGATGCTTTAATTAAATCCATCCGCAAGTGTTTATGTAGAGCGATGTATACACTCGCAGTGCACTTTGAAACATGCCACAAATTTTGTTCACATCGAAACATGGAGGTTAAACAAATTCTGCTATCGGCATCTTTTTACTCTGTATTGTCCTGTGTCTTGCATGCATTGCCACTCCTCCAGTCCTCTCTTTTCTATTCCTCTTGTTACTGTTCTGATCATTTCTTACTTTATCTATCAAGGGTGTTTTCTCAGAGGAGGTAAGGAAGACAGTGCCTCCTCCACACACAAAAAAGCACTTGAGAAAATTGAAGTAAATGGAAGCAAATATTACAAAATAAAAATACAGGTTAAAAAAAGGTTAAAATAAAAATCACAGCAAGCAGTGCCTCCTTGTCACTGTGATTGGCTGATTAATGCATTAATGTCTTGCCTATCATGCACACAACAGCAAATTCACATGAATGTGTCAAACTAGATGGAGTTATAGCAGAGTGGATGGCTCACCCACTCAGACATTATCACTGAATCAAAATTTCAAGTCTACTGCAGGCTATGTGTAGTTATGTCTTTGCTATCTCTTTCTGTATAGGAACAGTACATATTCATTCACGATGCCATCCTGGAGGCGTGTCTGTGTGGGGAGACGGCCATCCCGGTAAACGAGTTCACCCTGGCTTACAAAGAGATGCTGAGGGTGGATTCTCAGAGCAACTCTTCACAGCTACGAGAGGAGTTCCAGGTCTTTGTCAACAATATAAAACAATTAATTTTTTTGTAATTTCTCCCCAAGGTCTTGATTGTGAGATCTCTCAATGGTGTAAAATTCCACATGACTGTGTGACTGCACATTTAAACATCCTCTGATTGGCTTTGGATTTGTCTCATTGCGAAGCAGTTTCACATTCAGTGGTGGCAGACAAATTGCTTGTCACCTGAAATGTTCCACATGGCACCTAGTGTTAGAGACAGCTCCCTAACTCACAGGTTGTACGGCCCCATTCTTCAATATCAACCTCTTTGCAAAGTGAAACATGCTGCAGTTAATGTTGGACAGAAATGTTTAGGGACCGTGATAAAAAAAGAACATCACTTATATGGGCATATATACTCATATATTACTCTTTTTAGTTATATTCCAAACGAAGGCTATAGCATAATTCTAAAACTCTTGGGGTCTGTTTTTTTGCAGCTTAGTTTCCATAAATGACCTGAACAGGGCAGAAAGTTTCACTTTCACAGAAAGTACATTTTTCAAATTAATAAATAACTTCCTATGAAGTTCAATAAATGCTAAACCTGTTCAATGGAGCGAAGCAAGGTTGACGGCAGCAGTCAAACAAGACTCTGAGCTACACAAAGTGTGACATACCCGCTGCCTGTAGATTAACGATCAATACTGTTAAATAAATGTAATTGAGTGTGGCTAGACATTCAGAGGACATTTAAATAATTTTTTTGACTCCAATGAATAATGCCTTCGGCAACACGGGTCCATTCCATAGCGTATGTACACCTACACACATAACACTGAGAAAACTGAGATGTAATAAATGGCAGAATGTTGAAAACTTTCGGAACTTAGGAACGAATCCTTTATTTCATTTGTATACACTGGCAACGTGGGCATCATAGGGGAAGGTTCTTCAGTTGGAGACTATTGATTACAGAAGTTTAATTGTTTTACTAGAACATCGAACAGAAATAATAAAGGTAGTAGTGCAAAACGTGTAACAGAAGAAATACCTCGCATTCGTTGTCCATTGGGAGCAGTAGTCAGCCGTGTTTCACTTTGCCACAGATCCCCAGGGAGCGAAAGGCCAGTGAAGGTTATTTAATAAAAGATGTACCACTCCACATGTGTTGCTGAGAATACTTTTATTGATTCAGTGGAAGGCAGGCAGAACTACCCTTGCTCTCCTGCACTTACCTCTACATTGCATTTTTCTGACTTTACTTTCCAGGTGAATTATAATGCATTCATTATAAGCTATTTTTAGCTGTACATGAAGGCTGATTTGGATTACAGGGTTTACAGTATATTGTTCTATACAGGTGCATCTCAATAAATTAGAATGTCGTGGAAAAGTTCATTTATTTCAGTAATTCAACTCAAATTGTGAAACTCGTGTATTAAATAAATTCAATGCACACAGACTGAAGTAGTTTAAGTCTTTGGTTCTTTTAATTGTGATGATTTTGGCTCACATTTAACAAAAACCCACCAATTCACTATCTCAACAAATTAGAATATGGTGACATTCCAATCAGCTAATCAACTCAAAACACCTGCAAAGGTTTCCTGAGCCTTCAAAATGGTCTCTCAGTTTGGTTCACTAGGCTACACAATCATGGGGAAGACTGCTGATCTGACAGTTGTCCAGAAGACAATCATTGACACCCTTCACAAGGAGAGTAAGCCACAAACATTCATTGCCAAAGAAGCTGGCTGTTCACAGAGTGCTGTATCCAAGCATGTTAACAGAAAGTTGAGTGGAAGGAAAAAGTGTGGAAGAAAAAATGCACAACCAACCGAGAGAACCACAGCCTTACAAGGATTGTCAAGCACAATCGATTCAAGAATTTGAGTGAACGTCA